ACGGCGCATCTCAGACCTTCCGTGCTGGACGTCGTCGATGTCGTCGTTGAGGCTATTCGGGTCTGCACTGGTAAATCGACTGAAACCAAATTCTTTAGGTACAGGGTCACGAATATAAAGCTTTTATTGTAGGAAGCTGCCTTCAGAACTGGCGAGATGCACTAACAATAAGACGACTCACCAGAAACGGATGGCACATGCATGATCTCGGTGGTATGGTTCGATGAGGAATCGCTGTGGAAATGGCTGTCGATATCTGAAAAAGGAAATTCAGCCTGGTTATCATATATTAGGTTTTAGATCCGCAATGATTATGACCTTCTTCTGAACAAAAGATTCATACCCCGATGAGGAGGCAATTTCACGAGTTGGCTTCTCATAGGGGTATGAATCTTTTGTTCACGAGAGTGACTTATACAAGACCTACACTGGAGCAGAGAAAGATACATATGAACAGCCAAACTTTGAGGCAACGTTAAGACCTCGCGACGACGCGCTGTAGCGCGCGTTGACGCCGCCCTTGTGATCGGTTCGATCGATACCAGACTGCGTGATTGAACAACGTTCCCCCAAATTGTCTGAATATGAGCGAGCGGCGCCGATCTACTCGCGCCTGCGGCTGCATTCGCATCCATATCCTTGATGCGCTTTTGCAATTGTAACGCGTTACTGCGCGTCGTCGCGTTGACGCAAAGTCTGAACGATGCCTTACGCCAGCTACATGTTAGTGTTCAGTATTCGACCACATGATTTTCACACGCACATACACCTCATTTTGATAACCCGATGTCATCCATCAACTCTATTTGCATCAAAGGGACACTTTCAGATATTCCAGTTCTGTGGAATTATCTTCCACCGGAGATTTGTATTTACTCGTGGCAGTGTTCGCCTCTGGTGGTGGACACAGAGATCTGCAGTTGGGACTATGTCCAGCGCCTGTGCTAGACAAGCTTTCCTAATTTTTTTTTAGAAAGGTTCAACTTCTCGAAAGGATGCCCCGATAAAACGACTGTTCAATAATCTAGTTCGTTGCGGACGAAGGGGCGTGTCAGGCGGGATGAAATTGGCGCGGTGCCGAATCCGTCTTCCAACAATTATTGAAGCGAGTAAGCGACAAGACTGTATCATAACGTTTGTATCAGCCGTTTTCTAGCAATTGTTGTCGCATACGCGCTTC